GAGGGGGGCCGCCTGCATCTCGCCGGTGCTGCGCTGCCGCGAGTGGTTCGAGGCCGGCCTGCCCTGGCCCTACGAGCGGGGCTTCCTGCTCCACCAGAAAATCGCCCTCAGCAGGTGGGTAACGGGGCCGCAGACCTGTGGCAGGTAACAGGGTCTTGGGCTGAGCGAGACACAGCTCTGCCTGGTGTTGACTCCGACGGGTCTACGGCGACTTGGGCCAAGTCCCCTCACACACTGTCTGAAGCTGCCCGAACCCTCTAGTCAAGAGAGAACCAGGGGAGCGGGTTTAAAATCCATAGAAGACTCAGTCAGCATCATTATTCGAGGCAGGGCCTCCCGCCCGGGCCCCTGGCCTCACGGTGTCCTAGCAACCCGGGCACTTGCCGCATCCCCGACAGGCAGTGCCTGACGTGACCGCTTAGCCGGCAGCTGGTCAGGTCAGCAAGGGCTCTGGCAGCGACTGCAGCTGGCTGTCTGTCCAGAATGTTCCCTACAGCCCTTGAGCCTGGAGGGGACAGGAATAAAACAATGTGGAGGTATTTATTAAAAATCCTGCCGAAACCGGTTTGGCTCAGTGGATGGAGCATCGGCCTGCGCACTGAAAGGTCCCAGGTTCGGTTCGGGTCAAGGGCATGTACCTGGGTTGCGGGCACATCCCCAGTGGGAGATGTGCAGGAGGCGGCTGGTTGGTGTTTCTCTGTCATCGATGTTTCTGACTCTCTCTCCCTTCCTCTCTGTAAATAGATAAAAAATATATATATTTTTAAAAATCCTTAGACCCAACAAATATTTTGCATATTCCTCTGTGCTCAATATTTAAGGCAACAATTTAAAGAATATTTAAACACAATTTAAAAAAAATCTCCATAAAGAGAACATTCTACCCTACCACCAGGCAAACAGGTGGGACTTTCCCCCTGAGAAGGCGACATTCCCACAGCACATACCCAGGCCTCGGCTTGCACTGTGGCCTTCCTAGGAGAGGCAGAAGGAGGTCAAAGACATGTGGATAACTGTGCTGTGGCAGAAAGACCTGGGATGTGGGCGCAGGTCACGGGTTCAAATCCTGAATTTCCAGCAAGTTAGCGAACTCCTTGGAGCCTCGTTTCTCTCTTCAGTGAAAGGGAGTTGATAATAACTACCTCCCCAGGCCCGTATATGCATGAAACGAGGCCATGGAAGGGAGCTTGGCACTGGGTAGGTGCTCAGTAAATGGTGGCAACTGTGGTTTCTCTTTCTTTTCTTGCCCCGTTTTGCCTCCTGTTCTGAAATGAAATCCTGAGGGCAGTAACAGGCTGCCATGACAACCCAGAGCTCCCAGAGTGTCCAGGAGCAAGGTGCTCTCCTGTGGC